GAGAGAGAGAGAGAGACATGAAAGCATGTATATATACGTTTCTGGTCGTTGAAACTTCTGTGAAATTACATAAACGGCCTTGTGGTAGAGGATTTGAATGGATAGGGTGATGGGCGTTTTTCATTGGAGGGGAAATGCTGGTGATACACAAAAGCCTTGTCTTCAAAAGCATCGACTCTTATCTTCTTGTGAGGAGAATTGGCAGAAGACTTGTTACCAAAATGACTAAAAGGAAAGATCCGCCAGAAAGTTCAAGAACTCAGCAGCAACCCATTTTCCCACTCAGGGTTTCCAACACAATTCTGGCTAGGTCTCTGGTTGCTGTGTTTGGACTTGGCTTCATTGATGCTGGGTAACATTTCTTCTTTCTTTTGCTCCCTTCAAAATCTTGGATCACCTCAATTTACTGGTCAAATCCATCTTTTATATATACATGCAACAAATTGTGTAATGCACAGGTATAGTGGGGATTGGTCAAGGATTGGAGTGATCTCAAAGGAGGTTGAGGACCTGCTAAAGATTGCTGCCTTTGTAGTTGTTCCTCTGTGTATCTTTCTCATATTTTCTTTTTCCAAGGACTCTGCTGAGACTTGACTGTTGGGTTGGGCTAGGAAGATAGCATTCTGAGTTATAACAAAAGAACACTGCCATGTAGTCGGAATAATAGCTTAAAAGTTCAAGAGCTACGACTCTACAAGTTAGAAGCGTACAGACAGAACAGAAGGTACTGCCAGTATATACTTGAACCATTGCATCCTGTATGAAGTATTCAATGTGCTACCAAACGTTGCTGGAACTTTCTGCAATTTTCCTTCTCAGATAAAATGAAAGGGAAAAACCAAACTGTTGTTTTTTTATTATCCATTTTTTACCAAATAAAAAATAAAAAGCAAAAATATTAACCAAATAGCGTCTTAATATAAAAGTTCCAGATGCTGTTCGACACCAATAGCCATTTTTAAAGGGAAAAATGGGATCCGATCCCACTGCTCCTTCAGAGATTGATGCCAACA